ATAGAAGTCAATTTCATGGTATAAGCCCAGAAAGAGGATTTGCAGACTTCATTTTTGCACATATTATTTTACATATTGTTATAATGAATTTCATTGGATAAGATGTCCGGCTATAGTATACATATACATATGATAGATCAACAGCATCATTTTCGAAAATAAATTGAGTTTAATATATAACATGTTTTTCTACTGCTTTGATTTTCATTTAAATATCTTGTAATTGATTAATAAAATTATGAAAATAATATAATTATAATAACTTTAAACAATTCATTCAGCACATAATTCCTTTTCTATGTGATTTTTACATTCCAAATATTAAATATTTATACCAGCCAAATTGGAGGTGATCCAATGAATAATGTTACTGGTAAGTAATCTAACAATAAGTTGTTAATTTTCCATTTGTCAAATTAAATGACATATAAATTTTAAACATCTTCTTTTACCTTGTATGAAAAATAAAAATAGAATTATTTATTGTGCAAAAATACTTCACACAACATGAAATTACAACATGAAATACTGTAATATTTATATCGATATAAAATTATCTATACAAATGTTGACTTGACTTGCTACATTATGTAACATAAATTGTAAAAACATTTACATAATTGCGTAAAATAAGTAAGCAATATAACTACAACAATCTATAATGCATTTTATTTGTCTTACTATTACTAGTTGTACAATGTCAAGTGTAGAATAGATATTACATTGATATAGAATAGAAGAGACTTAGGACACCCCATATGCTCATATTTATAAAGATCCTAAGAAAAAGTTCGTACTGTATTATAAAGTTACAGTTTTGAGACTTAGGAAAGCGTTATTAGACTATCCTTTAATTCGCCAAACTCTCTCTAGCCAGATATTATATATTTCTCAAAATAATATAATTTTATAAAGCTCTTTCATTTATATGAAAATATTGATATATTTTCATACATATATTTTATTTACACATAGAGACACAATTAACAAGAATAATAAAATTTTTAATTCCTTGAGAAATTTAATGCAGATTATCTGCCTATGAAATATAATAACTTAAATGTTTTAAAAATAAAACTATTACTAATACTATTATTAATGATAGCTACAATGGAAACAGTGAATTTTGTATATGCCATATACAGAAAATTGACTTAAATATAAATTGCTTTATGTTTCATTACTTATTATCTATTTATATGCAACTTAGAGATCCATAAAATATATATAAATGGTTCGATGTAAATAAAGCTACTTACAAAGTTTTTAATACAACGATGTATGCATCATTCATAAAATAAATTTTTCTCTTCTCTTGGATGCAAACATTTCCACAAATCTATCTCTTAATAAATAATTATATCATAATACAGGCTGTCCCATGACTAATATAAGTTCTAATAACAGATATATATTTATATCTTGTATATATTTGTCAGTATTTCCTGATAAATTTGAAATTAAATGAATTTTTTCTTCAGCGATAACATCGAGGTGTATCTTTCTAAATCCAAATTACGAATCATAATGAAGAAATATTTTATAAACTATGATTTACTTTGCAGGATAAATAAATACACAATTATGTCCTCCAATTAATTTCCGAATAGATTCTGATAGAATTTCGATTTAAAATTTTGTATATATTACAAAGATATACAAATTAAAAAAATAAAGGAAAAAAAATTCGATTCAAAATTCAATCAAAGAATCTGTTATTATATTTACAGTTACGAGTTGTGGCACATCCTGGATATATTTTATATCCTACTAATATACATAGTGGAAGTATAAAAGATGTGCTCTTGCGCATTTTGAACATAAGAAGAGCAATATCCAGAAGCCATCATGTTGCCGCGGTTATTTGAAGTTGACGTTATGTCATTATGTTATTATGACAATATGTTGAGTTCTTTCCTTTGGAAATCGAAAAAAATTTCTGCATCCTTTTTTCCGGAAACTATTTATACACGTTTTTACTTGATTCTTATTCATATCAGCAATATGTCACTTCAAAGTTACTGCAATGTAAATGTTTAAAATGACTACATCAGAACGGTATGAAATTCGTCTCGAAAACGAGCACACCTTTTATACTTCCATCATGCTAATATATGTATACGGATACATGTTTTTTCTAATGTATGTTACTTATGTGTGAATATAGGTGAATATATTTGTCAAATTTCATAACACAATCATCAAACCAGGAAGAAACTGAAAAACTGCGAATCTTATTATTAAATTTATACAAGTTAAATATGCAGACTGCATTGTTATGAAAATAAATAGTGAATCATAAAATATAAAAATCTTTTATTAAACTAGAAGAAATATCTACTATTATTAGGAATATATATATATATGTATGTATATATGTATTATATATATATATATATATATATATACACATATATATAGAGTATATATTCAATTAGAATAAAATATTAGAATTTACTTATCATTAAAGGCTCGGAAGTTTGTAGTCTTACAATAAATTGTCCCTCATTACGCAGCAAGCACAAAGTCTACAACAATAGATTTTATTCATATTTAAGCATTTATATATGCAATTATATATTGTTTTTAGGGATATGTGTGTAACGTCGTTATTTTTTATCGTTGCTTTATTATAATAACAATTTGGTAATAACGTTGCGAATTTTTTATGGCGATAACGGTAATGCCAGATTGAAAAAGTCAATAGTTATTTGTCATCCAAATCAAGTACACTAAAAAAGAATTTCCCATAAAAACTTGTAAACTTCCGAACCCTTGCTCATATTACATACGAAATTAAGTTATATACAAGATTTACAAGTGGTTATTCTAATTTTCGTCTTTGTGCAAATTATAATTATCAAGTCAAATGTAACAACTAATATAAAACGGAACAAACGTCTCCTTGACGTCATGTAAAAAATCTGTGTTGCTTGAAATATTTGACAAATTAAAAAGTTTCTTTTTTTTTTTTTAATAAATTTTTAGTAGACAATAATGAAAAGCACATATCTCAACTTGTTTACAGGCACAAACATAGCATGACTGATTGTATCTTCGAATCAAAAATTTTACATTTTATATTCTTTATTCTGGATTAATCACCGATTGCGTGCACGTTACTAGGCATTAAATAAATTTTTTATGCAAACGATAACGTTATTTTTTTATGCAAACATGTGTACAATAAAGAGTGTCCTTGTATAAGTGACCATCGCTTTTTATCTTGTAAATTAATACAGATAGAGCTAATAAATATATCAAATTAAACGATTCTATCTAAACTCCATTGCACAAACATAGTAATCACTCAGAAAAATTATCCCTCTTAGAGATCAGAGGGATATACATAATTTTTACATGTAAAGTAAATAATACGATATAATAAAGTAGCGTTTATTCTAACGAGCATAACGATGTGTGTACGATATAATAAAATTATTTTACAAAATTATGTAAGTTATTTCGATTTAAAATTTTGCGGACAACTAAGACCTTTTCAATTTCGGCCTATTCTGCAATATTATGGCTAATTTTCGACTCTCGCATTGACAATTGACGTGTTAACATGTTATTTGATCAATACAAGAAGTTTGATACACCGCAGGGCTTAAATTAGTGAAAACGTATTAGTTGCTCGCAAAACATTAAACCGAAATAACTATAATTTGTAAAATTTGTTATATCATACATCATTATATCCCAGTAAACGAGAATGGATTAAAATTTTTTTGGTAAACAATAAGGATGACTTGGTTTGTGTGTGTTCACATCGATCATTCATTTTTACTTCTAATCAAAGGGAAACAAAAGAATATAGCTCAATTATTTTTACGTTACAACTTTTTTGAACTTAGTTGGATTAAAATGAAAAATTTCCTAATTTTGAATAATTTAAGTAGCATTTTTATTGTCTATTTTAAAAGAAAAACTTTTTTTTACTCAATTGGATTAAAAAATTGCATTTTCTAGTCAGAATTTTGAATCGAGCAGTATTCACGATGTACACAAAATACTATAATATTATTTTTAGATTGAAAGGAGATACACTCTATGCAATTCTTGTAAATGAATAAAAATGCATTCAGGATTGGAAAAGATTCATTTTAACATTCATGAATTCCATTTCTGAAAATCTGAATCCATTTCAATCCATTCTCGTTTGCTGGATACTCGTTAGGATGAGCGTGACAACCTTTATTATACCGTAGTTTAGTTATAATCGTTTAATTTGATGTTATATTTATTAGGTCTATTTCTGTTAGTTTACGAGACAAAAAGGAGTGGTCACTTTATACAGCACCCTGTATATATTGTATACTGTGGGAAATTCGATTACTCGGGCATAATGCACAAATTAACCCTTATCATACAAGGAATTTAGTGCTTTATCCATACAAACGGGGGTCACTAGATTCGTCTATTTTTTTCATGCCGTTCATTTTCCTATTTAGAGGCATGTTCAAATTTCCATTTGGGTGCTTCTCGGATGTTATATCATCCTTATTGTTTAACGAGCATTAAACAAGGATGTCACCCGAGGACCATCCGGGTGGGAATCCGAACACGCCTCTGAATATTAAAAAAATCCCTAAAAATTTACCAACATACTTTCAACTTTCTAGAATAAATATTGGAACTTTATTTTGGAAAATAATAAAATGTAGTATAATTTATAATTACCGAAGGACTCAAATAAACTTGCACGAACAGGAATCACTCGATCACTAGTAATTTATATTATATCACCATATATTTGTAGGGTAAGAGTTAATTAAATTTCCCGTGCCTTTTTCTTTTTTAGAAATAACTAATAAAGTTTTAATGAGCACAACTGAATCCATGCTCATTGAATTGGCACGTGTCACTTCAATTTATTTATGGCACTAAATACATTCATTATATTAACATTTAATGTACCTATTTATAATATCTCCCCCCCCCCTCTCTCTCTCTCTCTTCAATCTATAAGTTTATAAATCTATTATTTTACAAATTATGCAAAATATAAAAGAAAAGTAGAAAGCTTTAAAACAAAAATTTTAATTCGTTAGAAAGTGGACGACAATGCAGCTTAAGAGCTTTACAAAATCCAATAAAGTTATTCTCTCTCTAACAATTTTTCTTTCAAAACGCGTGTGTACTACATGTCGCTGTAGGTATTTATCATTAGCATGATTTAAATTACGTAAAAATCTTAACATCTTCTATTATAATTTAGTCGTCTCATTGTAGCTTTCATCATAACTTGATGGCATTGAGTAATTGGTTCAATACTAATCGTTCATGAGTATATCGTTCACAACCTCTCAATATTCTAAATGTCATATCTAATCTCTTGACTGCGACTTTAATTTGTTGTTTTCAGAAGGTTAAAGCACTAATTATTAAATACACAAAGAGATTTTTTGATAACTCTTGCTATATTTAATAATTAGTTATCAGCAAACAAAGGTATGCACCGCTTTGTATATTCCACAATCTTGTCTCGTATTCGGAAAAAAAAAAAATAAAATAAAATGTACATCTGTCAATTTCATATCAACTACGAAGCTCTGAGTAATTTGAATTCAAAATCGTATTAATCAATCTTATTTCTGCTTATACCTAGGATATAGTATTTTCAATATTTTCAGTATTCGTTATCTGCGAATTTGTCGAATCAATCTCGGATTTCCGATGTTTTTCCAAATACCTTCTGCGTGCTGTTAATCTCATATGTTCTTTTCGTCGTTGAAGTATAAGTTCTCTCTCAGTAGATGATTTCGAAAAACGACCACCAAGACTCGAAGGTTCCTCTCCACTATAAAAATAATATATTTACATATAGATTATCCCATGAAAAATAAAATATCCTAGAATATCTAGATTATGAACAATATGACAAAACATGTACATCTCGATTTACGATTTCAGATTTTTAATAGATCGGTTATCGTATATTTCTTAACGTACAAATACAGTTAATATTAAGGATATAGCTTAATATATTTATATTCTTAATATTTCAAATCTTCCTTACCTATCGGCAAAAGGAATATCGAATCTAGGATCCGATGAATTTTGGATCGAAGAGCTGGGTGTAATATTTGTCACGATCGTTTGCATTTGTGGGACGGATTCTTCTTGCGGTTCTTCGATTAAATGGTGTGGTATAGTTAATATCCCATCAAGTATATTCTCAATTGTCCATTCAACTGATCGAGTCATTCTAAGATCTTCTAGGATTATATTTCGAGGATAATGAGGAAAAAGTAGTTGTACCTAATAAATATATTTGTTAGGATAAATTTTTTCTTTTACAAGATCTATAAGAAATTTAAAATTGATTTACATTCTTTATACATAATAAAGTCGACACACATGCATATATATGTATATATTACCTGTCTCGTCATTGCGTCCATTTGGGAATTAGTATGTGCAAATGTAGATATGTTACCACGTAATCTGTTGTGTGAGACCTCGACGGAAAAACTAGGCAACCAAGATACATATCTCGATGCATCGAGAAAGAGGAAAAAGTGATTACTATTTCTTCTCGTAGGGGTTTGTGGATCAGGAGGTATCTCTAGAGTGTTCTCTCTATGATTCGCTTGCATACTCAAACCCAATCGACACGTAGGACATGATGTGTCCTGTTCTAACCAAGATTGTAAGCATGAGTTGTGAAACAAATGTGTACAGGGTAATTTACGAGCGCTTTCCATTTTCTCCCAACATATGGCGCAGTTATCAGAGTTCTCGGCTAACTCATCTTGTGAAGCCATTGGATAACTAAAAATATTGAAATAGTTATTTATCTAAAAAAAATTATTGATTATTTGTAATTTAACGCGATTACAAAGGAGTTTATAGACTCGTACATAAACTCCTTTAAAAAAAAATTTATTTAAAAAAAAATAGAATAAAAATGCGAACTTGCAATAATATAAAATGTTATATGTCTATGATTATTACAATTTATTATTTTCATCAAAAATAGAGCTTAAGAGAAATTATAATTAATATTCAAATTTCCGATGATATTCGAAATTTTCATCAAAATTTGTGCATATACGTATGTGCGCATGCGCGCGCGCGCGCGCGTGTATAAGAAAAATTCCCGGAATAAATAAGATGCAAATATATGACACATTCTGTCTATGGACTTTTAATACGCTATAAAGTACTTAGTGTTTTATAAATAAAATCTAAAATAATGCACAAGATATCGTAAGAAGGTTACAATAAAATCAAAATAATAAAACAATTGCATAATAAAACTAATTGTGTATAGCATAAATGCACGTTACGTACTTTTGCTCCATATGATTTAGTACAGCCAAATAGTTTCTATGTTTTGTAATTCTCCGTTGTATCTCGTAGAACAGATATCTCAATTGCATACATATTACTAGCGATGCCATGCTCAAAAGGATGTTACTCCACAAAAGCATGTGAACGTGATGGAAAAAGTCGACTGCCAGTACAATTAATTCCGAAATCAAATCCGTATAGTAAGTCAATGGACCACGTTTATCCCAAGATCGTTGCGCCGAAGTGCCGGCACCACGAGTATCGTACAGATGAATCAAGTAGCGTAGCATCACGTGAATCGTACGGACTCCAAGTAGAATACACTACAGAACAAATAATTATTACAAAATAAATAATTATTATAAGATAAAGTCATTATATTTTAGACGTATGACAGATTTGATATTTTCCCAATCTTCATTCAAAAGTGAATTAACTACTTAAACTAACAAAGAATTTGAACAATTCATCTAAACACACACACAAAATTGATGTCGATAAATAATTAATTGTTACATTGCTTACCTCAGCTGCCATAAAAGCAAAAGTATTGAAAGATATGAAAAAGAAAGCTGCAGCGATGCAGAATAAAAGCATGAAGGAAGATAGCACAAGTATTGCCGCCAACAATACGAGAAGTCGCGCGTGACTCCATCCTGGCGTAGTGGGTGAAAACGACAGCTAAAATATAAAAATTATACATTATAATGTATACACTTCTTGAGACATAGTATAATGATACTTGGTCAAAATTATTGATTATTAAATATGACAAAAAACATTCCAGAATCGAATGTGCTTTTATTTTAAATTAATATAAATTTATATAGCGCGCAGTCATATAAAAGATATTTCTATTATATTTTCAAGATTAATTGCCTTTTTTGGCATGTCTTATATTTTTGCTCTTCGTTATACTCACATATTCAAATCGATCTTTGCAAAGTTGGCTAAGAAGACTCAGGAAGCCAAGCGCCAAAAACCATACACACCAAAGTACAATTTCGTCCATGTATTGTACATTCAAAACTCCAAAAACGAAGATAAACTTGTAAAAAAGGAAATTCCAGAACTTGTCTTTCAAATGATGGTTCTCTGAGGCACGAAGTTCACCAAATACAAGCTTTTGGATGGTTTTGCCAAGGAGAATCAACATGCAGTTAGCCATGTTGACTAAAGTCTGTAAATCAGAAAAAAAAGAAATTGTAAGAAATGTATAATGATAAGTAAAATATATATTATTAAGTGAAAAATATAAAATAATTTTAGATATACATTATAGTTGAAATTTTTTAAGAGAAAAAAATTTATTAATTTTAAGGGAAATAAAAATGTATTGATTAAAATATAATTTAGAAATCTGATTCAATGCTTTTTTTAGCACTAATAATAAAACTAAATTTTTATATAAAAAAAATAAATTATACATTTTTATTGTTCAATTTGTTAATTTTTTATATCTTGTATCATAAAAATAATATGAATAGATGTTTTCTAACACGCGCACTCTAAACAAGCGACAGATAGTTTGAACAAGTGTTGCCTAATCGTTGCCAAATGATAGAAAGGCCATCTAATTTTAGGCTCAAACTTTTCTCCATTTCAATGTCTCGCCAACAAAATTTTGAAATACATCGCAGTTATTTGAGGTGCAAATCGTCAGAAAATTTTGATATACATCGATATAAAATGAAAGTTTTTTTTCCTTATCGCTATGTCATACACACACACTCGCGCGCGCGCACATATATACAGACAAAATAGGAAAACATTTGAATCTTCAATAATGTCATTTTATTGATAAAACGAAATAATTTCTTAAATCTATGAAATATTTAATTGCAATAGTAGGAATAATACGCTGTGTAACGTCACCTATCTTGAATATCTTTATTGCGTCGTAAAGATAATTTGACAACTAAGCGATAAATATAATTAAAGAACGTTTTACAGTAATTTACAGAAACATAACATGACAATTTTTCACTTGCTGATAATTACTAAATTTGAAATAATTTTGCAACAAATATAAATAACGATCGAAATTTCAATCTTAAAAAATAATAATCTAAAAAAAAAAGAGACGTAACTCTTTTTCTATTTATTCTTTTCTATTATATTCAATGTATGCAAATTAATGTATTTAACCGCGACGCAGATACAGTTAAATCATAGCGTGATTATAACGCAATGCAAAAATCAATTTGGAATATTCATTCGAAAGAAACAATTGTCAAGCAAATCATGCGATAGTTGCATAATTTGTCTGATAATTATATATAATATATGTATACGACAATTGTAACGAAACATGTAATGTCATAAGAGAGGAAGATAGCGCGTTCTACTGCTGTCACGACAAATGTTAATTTTCTGCTTTAAAAAAATATATATTCTTCAAGTGTGGCATAAACGGGACTGTTTATAATCTATTTGATTTGATCGCGATCGAAAATTTATTTACGTTAAATTATTATTAAACAATTCGTAAAACACATATATCTTGGTCCAATTTATCAACTCATTTCATCAATT